TTTTTTGACTTCAAGGTTGAAAATTAATTTTATTCGAACGCTAGAAAGTACTAAGCGATTATAAGCTATCAAACATTTCAGTATCTATAAATTCAAAATCTTGAGCTAGAACAGAACTGTTGTAAAGACAACCACATACACATTTGAATCGGCTAAAGGCTACTTTTACCAGCAGGGGAATATAGTCTTTAACAATGTCAGGAATAAGAGGATGTTTAGTTACACTCAACATTTCATAGAGTGTTCAAATTCACCAATCCAGATTTTCAAAAGAATTAGTTATAAAATGGAATATAAAAATAAGTCAGCTTTTGCCGAAGAAAAGTATCTAAGGTTTTACTTTTTACACTGAAAGTAAAGCGTGCGTTTTGCGAAAATTTCAAAAATTAGTGTATGACTCTGATCTTCACACTATTCGATCCTCTTAACGTTTGGAAAAAACGAATTCAAGTGACAATAAGGCAGTTCAAACTTTTGTTTGCACTTCAAATGGTTTAAGCTTTCTGCTGAGCACAAGAACCAATTGAGAAGACAGAGTTAAAACAGAGTATAAATTTAGATACGGAAGATGTCAACTAAAATATTCCATATGGTCCTACCATTGAGTCGGTTAAGGTTTGCAATAGTTCCCGATTGCTGCCCGATTGCTCCATTAGTATCCTAACTATTACTGCTCCGCTCTTAAGTCTAATCAGCGATAAAAAAAAAAAATTCAGTTAGTTTATATGTTTAAGACGTTACGTTAAAAGAATGTTGCAAAATCCTTGATTATTTTAAGTCTTTAGTTGAAAATTACTATGTAGTTTTAATTCTAGAAAAAAGAGTAGAAAATATGAAAGTTTCTTTCAAAATTGAGAATTACTGACGTGCACTAAATATTTCTTTTCAAAGTATCATTTTTTTTTCAATTTGTGATGGAAAAATCCAATAAAGAACAGCTTCTTACTCAATTAAAATAAATGATTTAGATAAATCTTAGAAAGCACAGATATACGAATTCCATTTAAGAAAATAAGGCTAAAGACTGATAATGTTCAACATAAAAAACACTTCTTCCCAATACATCGTAAGAAATAGTTATGTCCAGTGACGCACTAAGATTACAAATTCATTTTCTGTTTTCATAAATGAATTATGCATCTTTGTTAAACGCATTAATACTTTAGAAATTTTACGACATTTTCCTTACTTCATTGCGTAACACCAAACCAATCAAAATATTCTTTTTTTGAATAAAAAATTATTTCAGAAAATTAGTTGTAGGAAAACTGAAGCTATCTGCATAAAAAAGATGAACAAATAAAACTTTTAACATTTTATATAAATACACTGCCTTTACTCATTGGGCAGAATCACCGGAATTGTTAAAAAATGTTTTCCTCAAATGAAAACTCTATTGAATGAAACTGGATGTGGTAATAAATAAAACACAGAAAACCCGGTTTTTTGTTCCAAAATCTTTGTAATGCTTGATTAATCAAAGCAGATGATAAAATAAAGCAAAAGTATTTACAAAAACATCTCAGCTATTTAAATGTAAAATAATAGCTAAGGCTGAAATTAAGAGTTCTACCTAACTAACCTTCACTTGGCACTATCAGAAATATAGAAAGTATGAAAAAAAAAAGTAATCAAAGGGTCCCCAAGTCAATTCGCTCTCTTCCTCACCTTAAGATAATGAATTATTTCCGAAACAACAGTTCAAGCAAACAAACCTAATACTGTGTAGATTTATGCCTGCCATAACCACAGCCAAGAGTTTATTTTTTGACTCTTTTTTTCATAACAATAAAAGTAGATGACCATCAACTACCATCTAATATTATTAAACAAGCTCACTGATGATGTTCTCTTCCAAAAAAAAAAAAAAAAATACTCCGTCAAAAGCCTACTTTGTGATTGAACAGGAAACATGAAATAAAGGATAAGAAAGCTCTGGATAACTCCAGCCATGCTACGCAACTCAACTTGAAAACAGTCCTAAAATCATTTAAACTTAAATTTGTAATTAAAGAAAAGGACTTTTGAAGCAACATTGTTTTATCGCATAATTTTTTCATAGAAACATGACAAACGAACGAACAAGTTTACGAATATAAATTCTGATATTCACTGATTTATAAAACTTATACAAATTTTCCAAAAAACTTATATTTTTATTTGGTTAAACCTTCTTACAGTTTTCAGTAGGCAATTTTGAAATGAGTACTTAAAATGATAGAAGACCCAAAAATAAAAACTGCCCAATATTTCTGCAAAACAAACAAAATAAACACCTGAAATTCAAAAAGTCAATAGAACCCATCCAGATGTCAGTTGAAAGCTTGCTTGAATGATGGAACAATACGGCATTTTGTTGGAACAATTTGCCTATTTATGATATTCCAATTGAACCATTTTGTAAATGCCTTGCATTTTAGTTTTCCGTTGTTTCTTCCCTACTATTATTGAGATTATAAGAATTTTTAGTGAAACTAAACAATTAAACTGTTTGAAATACCATTTATGTAAACTGTACACTCAAAAGCATTAACTTAGCCACTGATTCTCATGCAGAATCAGGAGTATGAAGTCTGCATACTTATAGCGTTCACTATTTAGAAGTATCGTAAACAATGAACTACGATTCAAACAATTTCGCAGAATACATTGTTTACCGATATGTTTAGCTGTTGATTTTTCCATGAGAGACATCGCCCTGAGCTGATTTCATCGCCTAGTAAATTCGCAATACAAGTAACTTCTGATGGTCTACAACTATATACTCAGCAGTCTTTTGAAGAGTTACTGTTGAAGGAGGTAATAAAACATTTCTTTTTGTTCGTATGCTGCACTCTTCCTTAACTTGTTTTGACGACTTCTCAAGCAATTTACTAAGGCGAATTTTTCAAAAGAATACATTAACTTCACAGCATGGACTCTTTGCACTCTGATATAACAGAAAATGTGCACTTAAAAATGTTGAATTTTCAAAATTCTTTTAACATTGAGAGGTACATGCTTAAAGCATGATTTGTATATAAAAGAGACATACAGCTTAAACGTAAGCTCGGTTTCGCAAACGTCAAAAAACTGCTTAACTTCTTCAATTTTCCCAACAGCACTAATTCGAATGTTCAATAAAAAACATTTCGATTACTGGCCTGCACCTACCAAAGTCGATGATAGGATGGCATGTATGAAGGTACTGATAATATAGCTGTTTTCACTTCTTTCTTTCTTGTTCAACCAGTTCCATACTGTTAACCACGATCCATTAAAAACACCCCTCGCTAAACACCACACACTTCCTTCTTTTGCTATAAATAAGTTGCTGTTATGCAAGGTTTGCGAAAGCAACCAGCAGGTAATGAAAGAATGGAGGGCAGGGAACAAAGATGGCGGCGAAGATGATGGTACTCCGCTGAAGACGGCAATGCATATGCTACCGTGTCCACTCAGGAATAGCAGCAACAGCAAAGTGAAAAAAGCTTCGAGTGTGATGACGCATTTTGCAGCTCAATAATGCCACGCGGTATTCCCGTGGTGTCCCGCCTGTCCCTTCTCATAATGCTTGCGGGCAAGTTAGGTGTGATTTTTGAAAGTCATGGAACTTTGCGTTACGGCGATGGTTTGGCCAAACATGAAATCACAACGTAGCCAGTGTTCGACTTTCGTTGTTAATTCAGAGTTGGAGTACAGGCATGTTTTTCTGTATACATTTAATTCCCATTATTTAATCCTCATACACAGTTTACGGTTACTTTTAGCAACGTTGGCATTCATTCCTTCCAAGTTAAAGATCCTTTTCTTTTATTAAGCATTATTCTTACTCCCATGTGTTGATGAATCTCTTGTAAATTTATCTACTTTTTTTGATTATTATCATGCCTTAATGATTCCTGAATCTTTTTTTTATTATGCACATACAATTATTTTAATTTATCTGTGAACAATGCCCTTTTCGAAATTATTTTAGCAAAAAAAAATTTCTCAATGATTGAATGCTATCGTTTTTTTTTTTTTGTTGGCATTGCCTTATTCAGTTAAGCACACAATAGAACGCTGTTTTTTGTCTCCTTGTTGTTAAATTTGAGAGAAGCACTGTGAAAAAAATATTATCTTGATCATCCAGATTTTAATTGGTGTTGATTTGGTAAATAGGGAGGAAAAATTAGGCAAGAAAAAAAATTGCATAGGCAGTTAGCTTCTTATAATACGTCTTTCCTGGATTTTGGTACTCATTGCATACGCTTGACGGTCAGACAGTGCTTGAGGCATTGAAATGGACGTAATCAGACTTGAAGTTGTGCAAAATCCATACCAATGCACTATCTAAGCATCTGTTGAAGGAACTTGCATGCCTCTGAAGCGGGTTACTCTCAGTGGTCGTCTGGCTCAGTATGAAGGCGATAAACCGGAGTCGGTATTACTTTTACTTGTCAAAGGGTGCTTTGCCATGGCAATTGATGTCGCAGTAGCCCTGGGTGCTGCATTATTCACTTATAAGGTTTTTATGGCAAGTTTAGCTCCGACTTACGCCAGAGGATTTTATTGCTATGAGGTGAAGTAGCTTTTTTTGTGCATTCACTTTAGTCATTTGTGATCTGATTTAGATGTTTTGTCTCCAAATTTCACTGTTCTTTAGTATTATATGCAGTCAGCTGTTAATAATGGAAAACAAAATTTTAGGTTGAAAGTCTCAGTCAACCGTTTAAACCAAATACTGTGTCGTCTAAATTAGTACTGGTTGTATCTTTAGCATTTCCATTTTTTATGATGCTCTTTATTGAGGCAATCTTCTTCTATTACTCGAAAGGCGTAAACCGCATGAGAAAATGGTTTTTCTCTTCGACATTCATTTATTTTGAATATCTGTGCTTTTACACATTGACGAATTTGTCGATTGAGGTTAGTCAAAGTATTGCTTTTTCAAATCAGAAACATCAAAGTATTTAAAGTTAAACTGATGTTTTTTGAACTACATTTTTATTTATTTCATTTTTTTGGCCTGTATTGATCTTCATTTCCTCTCAGTGGAATAAAATTTTTTTTACAGGGTTTGAAATTTGCGTTTGCGCGTCTTAGGCCTCATTACCTATCAGTATGCAAACCTGACTGGAGCTTGATCAATTGTACCGATCCCGCAACTTACATTCCGAGTTGGCTTACTTGTGTATTTATTATATTACTGACCGAGGAGTTCTCAAATTTAAGAGATGTTTGAGCAACTTCAAACTTCTTTTGATTATTTTTTAATACCTTTTTCATTTGGAGTTTAGTTGCTGGTCAAGTTAAATTATTTAAATAGGTGTCAACTGTACCGGAACGAATGCACGTAGAATCAATATCGGGAGGCAGAGTTTTCCAAGCGGACATTCTGGAGTTTCCGTTTTCTTCCTAGTCTTTATGTATTTTTACCTGACAGGTTATTTTAAGAATATTTTAAATTAGGTTGTGCTTTTGATAATTTAAACAGCTGATTACAGTGGCTTTTTTCACAAAATACTGATTACCTTTGCAAGTAATCATCTAATATATTTTTCACGAAAAACTGCATCATTGTTCATATTTCTGTTTACTTCGTTTTACTTTTTATACAGGTCTACTACATGCTTCAAAGCTTCATATTTTCCGCCAGTTAAGACGCGTTATTATTGTAGTATTAAGTTTGTGGACAGCGTTTGTTGCAGTCACACGTGTTACAGACTGCTGGCATTATCCCAGTGACGTTTTTGGAGGCTCAGTGATTGGGATAATTTGCAGTTACATTCCATTTATTTGGAAAAATAATGACTTCCAGTACAACAGACGTTTTATCAAGCATCTTCATGCTCAGTAATTTTTTAATTGGTGTTGTAAGGGATGTTTTTATTCAATTTTTGTGAGATTATTCCTTATCTGGTTCATCATATGGGTTTTTTTACAGGTTTGCTGAATTTTTAAATTTGTCTTTTTGATAGAACATAAACCATGATTGTTAAGTATCGAAAGTTCCACTGCTAATATAGGTTATTTCACTGGACTCAACATTGGTGGTGCAATAGTGCTTAGTTAGGAGAAGTATTATTATTTGTAGTAAGCCTCAGTTTCCCAGTTGAACTTCTTAGTAAGATTCCTTTACAGACGTTTATGGTATGATTAATAATTTATCGCTTTGTTACATTATTCTACCTACTTGTAGGACCAAATATTGGGGTTGGGGACTTTTTCGCCTCAGATCTGTTTTATTATTTTGATTTGTATTTTTTCCACATTATTATTGTTATTCCTGTCATTATTGTTCGAGCTTGGTTTGCGTATTATTTTCTTGTTGGCATTGGCTCTTCCGTTTTTTTTTTTTTTTATATTAGGCGTTTTCGTTCACTGCAACTTACCTCATCTTCCTGTGTATTTGGTTCCTTTTGATGGTAATTGATAGCTAAGTATGACATTTTTTTTTGTTAATGTCTCTACGATGACTGTTCTGCTGTATGATAAAAGGAAATGAAGAAGAAAATTTTCGTTTATAAATACTTTTCAGGCTTTATTCTGGAATTTGTTAACATCAGTGAAAATTCCTTGCAAAAAGAAAATACCTGCACATTGCGGAATTGAGCGGCTTCTTTTCTAAATCATTCTTTCAGCTCTTGCAGCAAAAGCAAGTGATTGGCATTGCTCTAACCTTTTTCATCTTCGGTTGCTGCTGTTGTGAAACCGCAAGTGTTTTGACATTTCGTGTGTGTTTGTTTTGTATTTCTTGAGCCCAGATTTCTGGAGGTAGTTGCAGCAAACTTTGAGGGTGGCTGTCGTTGTCGTTTTGTCAGTAGTCTTAATTCCTTTGGGTCAGTACTTGGAGCGAGCCTTTTCACTGCATCTCGGCGTAGGCGTTTAGAGGTTTGAAGGCTTTTCCATGCTTATTTGTTTCGGGTCTTTTCAAATCATTTGTAATTTTTTTGGCGTTGCTTTAAGTTAGGAGTTGATTGGGGACAGGTTTGCTGTAAGTTTGCAGTCTGTTATTTCTTTTTTTCTTCATGCTGAGGCTCTTAAGTGGTGTTTAACATTTGCTTTGCATGTTTCTATTCTTTGGGAACTTCTAACCTTTCAGACTTAAAATGAGTTAGTTTATGCAAAAGTGACGCCTAAATGGCTTATTTTTGTGCCGAAGATTTAATCGATGCAGTGAGGTATGAATTTGGAGTTGAAGATGAGACGGGGATTTGCCTGAAAATTCTGCTTCCTCCATTGAGGTTTGTTGAATAATTCTTTAAAATGTTTTGTCGACGTTCAAATTTTGTTATTAGTGTGCTCGATTAATGCATGTGTAGCCGGCTTTTACTCTACTAGAGTGTTTTTCGAAGTGAATAAAATCATTTAAGGTTTAGGGTTATCTGAAGTTCTTATTTTAGCAACATTTTGGAAGCATTCAACCATTATTTCAACCATTTTAAGTGTATTAAAAGTTGTAGAAAGTCAAAACCCGGTGGCTTACCTCTAGATTTCCGCAATGACGAAGCTTCAGTTTCTGAAACTGAACGGGAGTCTCCCATATATCTTGTAAGCTATTCTTTAAATACAATGATTATCTAAATAAATTTTTTCTTCATTAGATTTTTTTTGAAAACAATTATTCTCAGTTTTTTAATTTTTGTAAGCTACGTACTTCCAGGTTCAACCCGAGGATCTTATCAATAAATCAGTTGTTGAGACGCGAGTACGTTCTAAAACTAGCGAGAGCGAAAGGTCGTCCGCAGTAGGTTCAGCAAAATGTACGAACGTTTTGGTTGCAGGTACGATAGCTTCTGATGAAGGAAAACAAGAACCTGATTTTCTGCAATTTCGAAAAGTCCCATCTACAGTAGAGCTTCAGAAGTCTTTAACAGTAAAGTTTGTTTTCACTTTTTTTACATTTTTTTAATGAAGAGTTTATAAAAGAAGATTTTTTTTATTAGTAATTTTTTCGTTTTTTCGTTTTTTTTTAATATTTTATTTCTTAACTTTCTCTTTACAATTTTTATAGATTGGTACAAGAAAATACAGAAGTTATTGATCCAAGTCTAGCAGCGTATGCAAAATTTGAATCTACGGTAAAGATTGATTTTGCAGTAAACTTTGCAATTAAAAATTAATCATTTTTTTTGATTCACCACTTTATTCACATCTTGCAATTTTACTCTCAGCTTTTCTTCCTTCTCTACGTTAGATAATCTGTTTGTTACTGCTTCCAGGATCCATCACATTGTCGAACTTTGCTGGTGTTTTTTCCATTCGCGGAACCTCTTTCCGATGAACTCAATGGTTGTGCACTTCACATAAACGTTTACCCACGAACTTGTATTTTAGATCTTATTGGATTGTGCTGCTATGTTTACATGCGCAGTAGGCGTAAACCAGAAATAAGGTGGATTTCATTTTTCAGTTACTTGATGGGAAACCTGCTGTTTTCTACCTTGTTATTAATTTTTTTTTTGTGATAAAAACTAAGTTTTAGTTTTTCAGTGACCCTTCGGGGTTTCAAATGTTGATGGCTGAAGATAATGGAGAAGTTGATTATGATTTACCCGCTATTGATGGTCATCGGTTGCTTTCAGAGTTGGGGTCTTGTTGGTCTACCGTAGCAATCGTTCCCCGCTCATCAACAACCGGAGGTTTTCCGGAAACAACGAGAATAGTTGTGTAAGTCAAGCTGAATATCACGTTCATTATTGGCTCTTTTTGTCATACACTTCAGAAGTACCTTATTTCGTGGTAATTAGCTGCAGCACTCTATTTTTTTTATTTGTCTGAGAGAATTTGCACAGCTTAAAGTGTTTCAAAAGTTTAATGAATGATGATAGATTACTCTTGAAAAATTGGTATTCTCTTTTTCCTTGCCTTTTCATACGTTCTGGACTAGTTAACTGTAGATATACGGTGAACGGAGCAGAATATGAATTCTTTTTGGAGTCCTTAGATGTTTCGCTCAAATGGTTGCGTGACGAAACACTGAGAAGAAGAAAGGAAAGGGAAGGGGACGGGTTTATTTCTGAATACCCAGCACGTTAGTGTTGTTCTGTTTTGAAGTTCCCAGCATTTTTGCTTAAATCAGTTTATCATTTTGCTCAAGTGTAATTAGTGTTATTTAATAAGAGCGAGAAACTTTTTAAGTGCAAGAGTATGTGTTGGAAGCAGTACATCGGCCGAACATCTCATTAAATTTGGATGTTACCATTGGAAGTACCGCATACACAGATTTTTTAATGCTGAGGAAAAACAGTAAGCTTACACTACCGGCCTTTTTTCGTTTTGAAGTGATTATGCGATAATATAAGCTTTATTAAAGCTAGCTTTGTCGGCATTCTTTAAAATGTAGTAGATCTCGCTTTTTAATTCTTATTATTATTCCAGAATTGAGCATAGGCTGTTTGTTTCTAACTTTTTTGGTCACTCAACTTACATGATGTTTCAAATAATGAGCCAAGAAATGTTAAAAATTTATCATTTACTGGATTTCAGGCTCACGAGGAAACTTCCGTTTGCCTTTAGATGTTGAATATGAACCAGGCTCACCGCTTTTAACACCGATGGCATCATCTAGTGGTCATCATAGTCCTCGATTTGGCTCATTTGGCCGTACTACATTTTCTCTTTCTTTTCTTTTATAAGTTGCTTTTTTTACTTCTCATCCTAAGCTTGAAAGTTTTAGAGTTCTTTTGCGGTGCTTCTGCTGATAATGGTTCCATGTTTTCCTTAACTCCTGATAAAGTGAATGTTGGAATGGTGATAGAGGAGTTTCAAGTTGAAAGGCTGCATCGCTACAAACCAAAATCTGCAGCTAAATTATGTAATCTTTTGTTTTTTCTACTTTTTACTTTTTTCCGCAGGTTTTTTTACTTTATTTCACAAAAAGTCGTTAGTAATATTGCCCTTTTAATGTATAAAACAAAAATGACTGATTTTTGTGTAAAAAAACAATTAGCTTTATTGGCCTTTACCAAATTGAATTGTTCCAGATCTCTGCAAGGACGGACTTGAGTTAAAGCCTGATTTGACCGACCGAAGACGGAGTGTAATTTTTCCAGTTACTTTTGAGAAACCTTTGGCAGTTCTATGGAACTGTGTGGGAACTGTTGAGCTCACGGACCATTATGGAGGTACACCCAATTAAATTCATTTATTGACAAAGGTTTTTTCTGCTTAGGTTGAGATTGCACCAAAAACTATGAACTTCAGGTAAAAGAACCTTGAAAATAGTTTGGGTTCCACCGCTGGAAACAAATAACCGTTCAACAAAAAATAGTCTCTCCTTATATCCATCAAGTTCAATCTCGAGCCGGACTGATTCAAATGAATCGGTAGAGACCGAAGAAACGGCTAAGCAACAGTTTTCTGTCGTAAGTTCATACTCATATTCCAAAGTTTTCTTCTATAATCTCAAAGTATCATTCCAAACTACCAATTAAAAGTTGTGGGTATCAGCTTCTAAGCTATTTATTTTTTACAGATTAGTGAAAAATCACAGTGGAAAACGTTAAATTTAGAGTTTGCTACGGAAGACGCATATAGTTTCCTTGCCAAGGTTGTAACTATAATTCTTAACGCTTGTGTTTGTTTATTTGGCCGTCCTCTCATCTATAAAGGCTTTAAATCACAAACTCTTTTTTGAATAAAATTAGGTTTTTTATTTCTTCAACTTGCTTATTTTCTTCTTTATGGTGGACTACTTAAATGTATTTTTCACGTTTTCTAGGCTAATGAGATTCTTGATGCCCGTCAACCGCAGACGAGGTCGGTGTATAGGTTGTCTGCTGGAGGTAAACGAAAGCCTTCTGCGGCTTTAGAAGCGGTAGTGGGTCCATCGGCAAGGAAATCTTCAACTTTAAAACTCGGTCAAAGACTTTCTACTGGGAAGCGTTCTCCTGTTCAGAAATTTAGGAACAATAAGATCTCTAGATTGGCTGTGAGTATTCAGAAAATTTGGAATAGAGATCATGCGCATGACTAATTTTAGTAGCATAGTTGAAATCCTGAAGGTGAGCGTCACAGCAATTACAGTGGTTCGTTTCTCACTGCAGATGTATATTTGTTGTAAAGGCCTGCTGGCGACATCTTTCGTTTTAAACTGTATAGCACTCACTTTTAGCCTTAACTTGTATAAGCTTGATTCCCTTTTTTCACTTTTTAGAAACTTGATTGACAAGTGAGAGACCTCTTGTAATGAATTAATTTTTTCCTATTTTAGTCTGCCATTTCTCCCGTGCAGATCATATCCAGCCTTTTTTTAAACTTACTTTTTGAGCCTTGGTCGCTAGCCCTATCTGAATGAAATGCACTTTCTTCTCTTTTATATTTCGTTCTTTCACGTTTCTTTCGCCTAGCAGTTGTGTCAATGCACCATTCCTGAACCAGTTTCAATTCATGTCTCGCAGGAAATGTAACGGTATATATTCTTTATTTATAACGTCTTTAACCATGTATTTACGGGTGTTGACTTTTTAATGATTAAGTTACAACCGGATCTCAAATTTTTTACAGAATGCTAGTTTAGGCAAGAAATTCCATATATTCATTACCATTTATGACGTATACTCTTGCATTTCTTATTATTTTTGCTTATCGAAGATCTTAGCGACTAACATTCCTTCTACATTCGGAACTCAGTTTGTGTACGTTGAAAATTGTATAGGAAGTTGAATGAAGATGCTTTAAGTTTGATACTGATATTTTGTTTATTTCAAATGCTCATCGTGCCAGAGAAATGATGCTTTCAAGTAGCCACACTGTGAATTTGCAGTGCTGACAAGCAGAATTCTAGGACAGTGCTCCTCGTAGGCAGCATTGTGGCAGCATATTCTTGAGGTCGTTTTAAGAATCCGGATTAGGGAATTTGATGATAGGAGAAGAAAAAGTGATATATGGCGCAGGACCTGCTTTGTGCTTTTCTTCAATGAACTGTTTGTCCTCCTCCTCTACAACTGGAAAAAAAAAAAAAAGTGGGAAACCGGCCTGCCATGAAGCGGCATATTCTCTACAACCATTCGTCGTTATTGTACTTCGCATAACAAGCAAAACTTCCAGCGAGTGAACCTACTGATGGTGAGAGATTCGCCATTTTTAAAAACCCGATGTATTCAAGTCTGTACCTCTTGAACTTCCTTAAGTTACCTCCCCAGTGAGCTAATTTGGAATCAGAAAGAGAATAAACGTGACCTAGACGTCACTATGCGTCCTCTCTTAACGTTCTCAAATTGTTGAGTCACGGTGAAGCTTTTCGTTTGCTGGAGATGTCCATTCTCAATGCACTGCTGCGCGAAGTGCGAAAATAGACAGTAACGTGTCAGAAACAAAAAACTGTTTGAGAGCAATTCTATAACGGAGGAGAATAAAAAAGACGTGAAACTACCACAGATGAACTAAGTGGTACGAGAACTCTGTATGCAAAAAAAAAA